TTCCCACAGGCTGCAGGATTGTAGTTCTTCTTGCTTCTGCTGTCTGCCCTCTAGGAACATTTTTGTTTCCAAATAATCTTCTTAAGGGAACAGTTCAGAAATAATTAGATTGATAGTGACAAACACATTGGATATTCTAGAACTAATTAACAAAATAGACAACAAAACCGCATGGTGTAATCATTTTTCTAAATTCTTAAAGACCCATTAAGCCAAATTTTAGAAATACAAATATAAGTGATTTCATATTCAAGATTTTTCTCCTTTTTTTAAAAAAAAATTTTTTTAAAAAAAGAGTGTTCTGAGTGGGAATGAGTATCCCTTCATTCATACATAGAAAGTAAAATCTGTATGAATATAGAGGTGAGTGACATGACACACCTGACATCACTGTGTCAAAGCAGTCCCTCCTGCCCTAACTCAGAGCAGCTCCCTTTCCAACTCTCCAATCAGCATTCATGGCATCACTGCCCTTTCCTTCACCAGAGCTCACAACATTTGCTCTGAATCTTCCCTTTTCTTGCCAGTCTCTTCCCATTTACTATCAATTTTTCATACAAGGTGCCTCCCAGGAATGTTGCTTCTTCTTCATAAGCCCAGCCAGTTCTCAAGGATAATACCTCAACCCCTGTACAAGAGTCCATTCTGGTCTTCCTGCTTCCACTCAAATCTCCTGGGCTCAGAAGTGCTGGCGTGCTCTTCTTCATCTTTAATTTTTATCACACAGTTCTACTGCTTGAGAAATAGCACTCCAAGGCCCTTATTATCTGACTTACCCTCTACAAACGCATAGCTCATTACTTTAAAAAAGATATTCTGTTACAGGTCCCTTTAAGGCTGTATTGTCTACCATACCTAATGCTAAGTTTTGATGGAAATCCATCAACATGGTATCATACTCATCCCTGCCTTCTTACCAGAAAATAATGACCATAATTTCACCATTAACCTTTCACTTAACCTTTTACCTTTTTTTAAAGTGAGGAATCAAACGTCTGGTTATGTATGCTCATGGGTGCTCGTATAATGAAAATGAAATTAATTCAGTTAACACTTCCTGAAATTCTTCTTTTTAACTTTACCTTGCCAAAGTTCACCTTCACAGTTTTGGTTAGAGCACATGGTAGAGGAGAAGTTAAAATATTACCACTCTGGTTTGGCTCAATTAAATACTCTATGACATTAAAATTCTTTTTAGATTTTTTTACCTGAAATTTTGTGCTGAAAATTTACACTTTTAGAAAAAGAAAGTTTGTTTTTTGGTTGGTTGGTTGGTTTGGTTCATTAATTTTAAAAATCTTAAAAAAACCAGTGTAAACGTAACTTTTCATGATACCATGTTTTTAAGTGCCTGGTTAGGAGAGTTGGTACCTATTCACATTTAGCTTAAAATATTATTTGGGGAGAAATATGATTTATTGGACTGATTCCGGCTAAAATAATATGTTACTTGAATATCAGAGTTTTGAAACTGAACCTAGCGATATATATGCATGGTCATCTTTATGAAAATGGTATGAGAGCACAATAAGATTTTTGCTGCTAAAACATCAGTTTGAAAATATTACCTGAATGGTTTTGAATAACTAATGCAATTCAGGCATAGTAGTAATTCATCAATATGCATGTGCTTTTGTATTTCTACCTATAAAATTTTTTTTTTATTTTACTGCTTCTTTATGGGTCTGGAAACTGTATGTTTTTATTTTGTTGTTGTTTTTTACATCTTTATTGGAGTATAATTGCTTTACAATGGTGTGTTAGTTTCTGCTTTATAACAAGGTGAATCAGTTATACATATACATATGTTCCCGTATCCTCCCTCTTGCGTCTCCCTCCCTCCCACCCTCCCTGTCCCACCCATCCAGGTCATCACAAAGCATCGAGCTAATCTCCCTGTGCTATGCGGCTGCTTCCCACTAGCTATCTGTTTTACGTTTGGTAGTGTATATATGTCCATGCCACTCTCTCACTTTGTCACAGCTTGCCCTTCCCCCTCCCCATATCCTCAAGTCCATTCTCTAGTAGGTCTGTGTCTTTATTCCCGCCTTACCCCTAGGTTCTTCATGACGTTTTTTTTTTCTTATATTCCATATATATGTGTTAGCATACGGTATTTGTCTTTCTCTTTCTGACTTCACTCTGTATGACAGACTCTAGGTCCATCCACCTCACTACAAATAACTCAAGTTCACTTCTTTTTATGTCTGAGTAATATTCCATTGCATATATGTGCCACATCTTCTTTATCCATTCATCCAATGGTGGACACTTAGGTTGTTTCCATCTCCTGGCTATTGTAAGTAGAGCTGCAATGAACATTTTAGTACATGACTCTTTTTGAATTATGGTTTTCTCAGGGTGTATGCCCAGTAGTGGGATTTCTGGGTCATGTGGTAGTTCTATTTTTATTTTTTTAAGGAACCTCCATATTGTTCTCCATAGTGGCTGTACCAATTCACATTCCCACCAGCAGTGCAGGAGTGTTCCCTTTTCTCCACGCCCTCTCCAGCATTTATTGTTTCTAGATTTTTTGGTGATGGGCATTCTGACCAGTGTGAGATGATATCTCATTGTAGTTTTGATTTGCATTTCTCTAATGATGTTGAGCATTCTTTCATGTGTTTGTTGGCAATAGGAAACTGTATGTTTTTAACTAACAAAACAATTGCAACCCTAGGAACCTAAAAAATTAATGTACGTGTGTCAATCAGACCATTTACTCTATACTCCTATGGTTTTCACACATACATTTTTTAATCTTAACATATTTGCCATTTTTTCTTTAAATATTTACAATTTTGGAGTGGAAAGGAAGTTATAATTTTTTAGTGCATACACTTACTTTATACCTGAACTTATACTTTCCCCCCTCAAATTTCTAAGAAATAGTATTACTGATGGGAAATCCTTTCTAGGAATTCATTGGGAATAGGAGTTAGATTACTTTTTAAAATTATTTCTTAACAGTGTAATTCAGAATGTTCAGTATAGGTGATTGTGCCAAAGAATCCAACAGAGTCAGGTCTATGGCCTGACTTTGGGATTGCAGTGAATCACACCACACCGAAGCGTGAATTTGGATCAGTGCTTTTGTTTACTCTTCTATTTAACTTACTTGTTTTGTGGCTTTAGTTTGCTTTGGACTTTCTTGTATTTCTATAGAAGTGAAGGGTAATGTATTTTAAACCTTTGGGGGTTTTATATGATTTTAACCCAAAGAATTAAAGCCTGTGAATGATTCATCGTCTCTTGGTTCCTGAAAGAGTTTATTCAGATGTATATCTCCATCATCTTTATTTTTCAGTTCTCTTTCCTTGTTAGCATGAGGGGTTAGCTTTTGGTGGAGACATTAACAGTTTATAAAAAACTCTTCTTCTTTACACTCTTCTGTGGTCCTCTGGGAAGGAAGTTAAGAATGACAGAAAGCTTTCAGGAGAGCCTCAGACCAATTCTACGAAAAATTTGATTGTTTTTCTGAAGGAAAATATGTTTCAAAGAAATTGTATTACCAGAAATGAATTATCTTTGATTCAGTTTCATAACCAGTTTAATAAGCTAGTTTTTCTTTTCTCTTTCTTAGTTTTTCATTTTAATTTCATGATTTTTAAATTCAATAAAATTTATTGAACGTCTATTATATGTACATAAAACACTCTACTAGACATTATAATCAAAATAATCATTTTGAAGCTGTATTTCTTAGCTGCATTATTTTGTAGTATTTCTACTTATATTTGACACTAGGAATGTTTAATCTGACTTAGAGAGATTTAGGATCCTGAGTTTGACATCATAACAAGCTGTTTTAGTTCATTTAAGGTATGATATATTGTGACAGCAACTGTAAAATGCCTGTTTAATTCATATGTAACTGTTACATAATTAGTATAGAGTTACTTCCTTTAAAAGTATACTATGAAGTAAAATACTTTCAAGTAATTTTATCAAACACAATTTTAGAAAACCTCTGAAAATATATGTTAAAAACTACTTAAAAATTCTGCCTGATATTTTTATCTGTACATTTTATACCTATATGGGGCTTTTTTTAAAAAAAAATTATTTATTTATTTATTTATTTTTGGCTGCATTGTGTCTTCCTTGCTGTGCGCGGGCTTTCTCTAGTTGTGGCGAGCGGGGGCTATTCTTTGTGGTGTGTGGGCTTTTTTTTTTTTTAAGAATCAATTCTGTCTATTTATTTTTGGTTGTGTTGGGTCTTTGTTGCTGCACGTGGGCTTTCTCTAGTTGCGGAGAGCAGGGGCTACTCTTCATTGCGGTGCGAGGGCTTCTCATTGTGGTGGCTTCTCTTGTTGCAGAGCACTGGCTCTAGATGCGCGGGCTTCAGTAATCGTGGCATGCGGACTCAGTAGTTGTGGCTCGCGGGTTCTAGAGCGCAGGCTCAGTAGTTGTGGCACACAAGCTTAGTTGCTCCACGGCATGTGGGATCTTCCCAGACCAGAGCTCGAATGCGTGTCCCCTGCATTGGCAGGTGGATTCTTAACCACTGTGCCACCAGGGAAGTCCCTTTGTGGCTTTTATTTATTCATTTATTTTAATAAATTTTGTGGGGAGGTGTTTTGAGAAGCCACTTGATTTTGTACCTGGTTATCAGAAAAAAGTAACTAAATAATCATATTGCTTTTTTGACGATATGTGTTATTTGGGGACATACAAATATCTTTGCTTTTTTTATTTATTTAGTTTTCCTGTTTATCTTTCTCTTTTTTTTCCCTGCTAATCTCTTATGCTTCTTTTTCACTTACTTCTGTTCTTAGTTTTCACTGCACAGTTGGACAACAGTTTGAATTTAGCAGTTAGTTAAAAAGATCTTCTAGGGACATAATAAATAGAAATAAAATATATTATTCAGTTGATTTCCTTAAAATTTTGACATTTGATTTTCTTTTCATGAGGAATGTATCTTTTATATTGAAGATAATTTATGTGTCTGAAGCATTCACTCTGAAGTGACTGTTGGAACTATATGACTCAAATAGGTAAAAAGAAAGTTTCCCCAGATAAAATGGTTGAAATGCAAGCAAAAATTGATGAGGAGAGAAAAGCACTTGAAACAAAGCTTGACATGGAAGAAGAAGAAAGAAACAAGGCTAGAGCTGAGTTAGAGAAACGGGAAAAAGATCTTCTTAAGGCCCAGTGAGTATTACTGAATTGAGATGGATTTGTGATTTAAATTTCCTGGTTTTTCTCATAGGATGTATAAGCAAGAAAATTGAATAGTAATTAAAAGCAATACTACACAGTTGTGTATTTGATAGAGATGTTATATAATTATATTCCTATTTTGAAATTTTACATCCAAATCCTTGTTAAATTTGGGGAAATTTAGTAGAATAGTAGATAATTGATGGATACAGAGTGTTCTCATTTTAATTAACAGACAAGAGCATCAGTCTTTGCTAGAGAAATTATCTGCACTGGAGAAGAAGGTAATTGTTGGTGGTGTTGATTTGTTGGCAAAAGCTGAGGAACAAGAGAAACTTCTTGAAGAATCCAACATGGAATTGGAAGAAAGGAGGAAAAGAGCAGAGCAACTTCGCAGAGAACTTGAGGAAAAGGAGGTAATGTAAATTTTTGTTTCTGGTTGATGCTTCACCTAAGGTATTTAACTTTTCTAGTGAAAAGCTGAATATCTATAATCTTAATAAAATTAAAAAAAATAAATTTATTTACTTTTAGCTGTGTTGGGTCTTCGTTGCTGCGGGTGGGCTTTCTCTAGTTGCGGAGAGCAGGGGATACTCTTTGTTGCAGTGCACAGGCTTCTCATTGCAGTGGCTTCTCTTGTTGCGGGGCAGGGGCTCTAGGCACACAGGCTCAGTAGTTGTGGCATGCGGGCTTAGTTGCTCTGTGGCAGGTGGGATCTTCCCGGATCAGGGCTCAAACCCATGTCCCCTGCATTTGCAGGTGGATTCTTAACCACTGCGCCACCAGGGAAGTCCCAGGTGCACAGGCTTCACATTGCGGTGGCTTCTCTTGTTGTGGAGCATGGGTTCTAGGCATGTGGGCTTCAGTAGTTGTGGCACGTGGACTCAGTAGTTGTGGCTTGTGGGCTCTAGAACACAGGCTCAGTAGTTGTGGTGCATGGGCTTAGTTCCTCCACAGCATGTGGGATCTTCCCGGACCAGGGATCAAACCCATGTCCCCTGCATTGGCAGGTGGATTCTTAACCACTGTGCCACCAGGGAAATCCCTTAATAAAATTTTAAAGCATATCTGTGGATTGCTTTGAAAGAAATAGTTGCTAAACATTTATGTCATTTGTTAAATAATTAAACTTGTGATTTAATGAATAAAATTATTCTGAAGTTTATCACTTTATGTCATAGCAAGAACGCTTGGATATTGAAGAAAAGTATACCAGTTTGCAAGAAGAAGCTCAAGGAAAGACCAAGAAGTTAAAGAAAGTTTGGACTATGCTGATGGCTGCAAAGTCAGAGGTTGGTCTTTAAGAAGTTACCTATTATTGTAGTTTGAATTTTTTAGAAAAGAATTTCTTTGATTAAGTATGATTAAGAATCCTAAAGGAATCATAATATGTGCTTACAATTTTAAAGAAGTAAAATTTTTGCCTTTATTTGCAATTTTTAATTTCAGCTGTTAAGCTAAATTGTTTATTTCCAACCTTAACTAATAACATGGAATAGACAATGATAGATAGTGTTACTCTGTCCATTGTTTTTGTGAAAGAACTGGGTAAGCTCTTACAAGGTTTCCTAGACCGCTGCCCTATGTCAGATGGAATTGTTTTGTATTTAAAATCTTGTTTGTCCTTAGTATTTTCATTGATTTTCCGTTAGATGGCCGATCTCCAACAGGAACATCAGAGGGAAATTGAAGGCCTTTTGGAGAACATTCGACAACTTAGCCGGGAGCTTCGACTTCAGATGCTTATTATTGATAATTTTATACCTCAGGATTATCAGGTAAATGGGAATTTCTCTGTCTTAGGTATTAGGTCACTTGGCTGGGGTTAAGGACTAAAGAAATATAATTTCTAATTTAATTAATGGTAAATATTTACATTTCAGTTGCTGATGATAAAATTTTCTTGAACTAATGGCCATCACATTTCACTTCAGCTGTTAACTGTTCTTAATACATAATTCTCTGTTTGAGTAACTAAGTACCTGAATAAGAATTTCTTAGTCCTGGGAGGAAGGCCAAATTCATGTAATTCATGTAAAGACATAGGTCCTGTTTATTCTTTCAACATTCTTTATCCTATAATTAGAATAAACAAAACTCCTGTGCGAACCTTTTCTCCTTGTTTATGGATGCTAATTCTGTGTGTGTGTGTGGGCAGGGGAATGGTAAAACATACATAAAATTTACCATTTTAACTATTTTTTTTTTTACATCTTTACTGGAGTATAATTGCTTTACAATGGTGTGTTAGTTTCTGCTGTACAACAAAGTGAATCAGCTATAAGTACACATATATCCCCGTATCACCTCCCTCTTGCATCTCCCTCCTACCCTCCCTATCCCATCCCTCTAGGTGGTCACAGAGTATTGAGCTGATCTCCCTGTGCTACGCAGCAGCTTCCCACTAGCTATCTATTTTACATTTGCTAGTGTATATATGTCCATGCCACTCTCTTACTTCTTCCCAGCTTCCCCTTCCCCCACTGTATCCTCAAGTCCGTTCTTTACGTCTGCATCTTTATTCCTGCCCTGCCTCTAGGTTCATCAGTACTGTGTTTTTAGATTCCATGTATGTGTGTTAGCATATGGTATTTGTTTTTCTCGTTCTGACTTACTTCACTCTGTATGACAGAGTCTAGGTCCATCGACCTCACTACAAATAACTCAATTTCGTTCCTTTTTATGGCTGAGTAATATTCCACTGTATATATGTGCCACATCTTCTTTAACCATTCATCTCTTGATGGACATTTAGGTTGCTTCCATGTCCTGGCTATTGTAAATAGTGCTGCAGTGAACTATTTTTAAGAGTACAGTTCATTGACATTAAGTACATTCACAGTGTTGTGCAGTGATCACTACCATCCATCTCTAGATGTATGCTAACTCTAAATACTAGTATAATTTAAAAATCTTAGCCTTTATTATTCTTTTCCCCACATTTCTGTCTTTCCAGTATATTTTAGTGAACTTTAACATTGATTTTTTTAACATCTTTATTAGAGTATAATTGCTTTACAATGGTGTGTTAGTTTCTGCTTTATAACAAAGTGAATCAGTTATACATATACATATGTCCCCATATTTCTTCCCTCTTGCATCTCCTCCCTCCCACCCTCCCTATCCCACCCCTCTAGGTGGTCACAAAGCACCAAGCTGATCTTCCACTGCTACGTGGCTGCTTCCCACTAGCTATCTATTTTATGTTTGGTAGTGTATATATGTCCATGCCACTCTCTCACTTTGTCACAGCTTACCCTTCCCCCTTCCCATATCCTCAAGTCTATTCTGTAGTAGGTCTGCATCTGTATTCCCATCTTGCCGCTAGGTTTTTCTGGCCTTTTTTTTTTTTTTTTTTTTTTAGATTCCATATATATGTGTTAGTATATGGTATTTGTTTTTCTCTTTCTGACTTACTTCACTCTGTATGACAGTCTCTAGGTCTATCCACCTCACTACACATAACTCAGTTTTGTTCCTTTTTATGGCTGAGTAATATTCCATTGTATATATGTGCCACATCTTCTTTATTCATCTGTTGGTGGACACTTAGGTTGCTTCCATGTCCTGGCTATTGTAAATAGAGCTGCAGTGAACATTTTGTTACATGACTCTTTTTGAATTATGGTTTTCTCAGGGTATATGCCCAGTAGTGGGATTGCTGGGTCGTATGGTAGTTCCATTTTTAGTTTTTTAAGGAACCTCCATACTGTTCTCCATAGTGGCTGTATCAATTTACATTCCCACCAACAGTGCAAGAGGTTTCCCTTTTCTCCACACCCTCTCCAGCATTTATTGTTTGTAGATTTTTTGATGATGGGCATTCTGACCAGTGTGAGATGCTATTTCATTGCAGTTTTGATTTGCATTTCTCTAATGATTAATGATGTTGAGCATCCTTTCATGTGTTTGTTGGCAATCTGTTTATCTTCTTTGGAGAAATGTCTATTTAGGTGTTCTGCCCATTTTTGGATTGGGTTGTTTGTTTTTTTGATATTGAGCTGCAAGAGCTGCTTGTAAATTTTGGAGATTAATCCTTTGTCAGTTGCTTCATTTACAAATATTTTCCCCCATTCTGAGGGTTGTCTTGTTTATGGTTTCCTTTGCTGTGCAAAAGCTTCTAAGTTTCATTAGGTCCCGTTTGTTTATTTTTGTTTTTATTTCCATTTCTCTAGGAGGTGGGTCACAAAAAGGATCTTGCTGTGATTTATGTCATAGAGTGTTCTGCCTATGTTTTCCTCTAAGAGTTTGATGGTGTCTGGCCGTACATTTAGATCTTTAATCCATTTTGAGTTTTTTTTGTGTGTACAGTGTTAGGGAGTGTTCTAATTTCATTCTTTTACATGTAGCTGTCCAGTTTTCCCATCACCACTTATTGAAGAGGCTGTCTTTTTTCCACTGTTTATTCTTGCCTCCTTTATCAAAGATAAGGTGACCATATGTGCGTGGGTTTCTCTCTGGGCTTTCTATCCTGTTCCATTGATCTATATTTCTGTTTTTGTGCCAGTAGCATACTGTCTTGATTACTGTAGCTTTGTAGTATAGTCTGAAGTCAGGGAGCCTGATTCCTCCAGCTCCATTTTTCTTTCTCAAGATTGCTTTGGCAATTCGGGGTCTTTTGTGTTTCCACACAAATTGTGAAATTTTTTGTTCTAGTTCTGTGAAAAATGCCAGTGGTAGTTTGATAGGGATTGCATTGAATCTGTAGATTGCTTTGGGTAGTATAGTCATTTTCCCAATGTTGATTCTTCCAGTGCGAGAACATGGTATATCTCTCCATCTATTTGTATCATCTTTAATTTCTAACATTGATTTTTAAAAATTTATTTTGAATCTATATACAGCTTTAAGAAATTTGTCTGAATATAAGCCTTAGTATTTTTTTTCCTTTGGACCTCAGCTGCACAGAATTACTATTTGGCTCACAATATACTGTCCTTGATGGTCCTTGGATGGCCTACTTTTGTTTAGTTAGTTATTTTGTAGTGAACTTGTCACCCAAAACAAAAGCTAGGACCATGGTAGTGACCTGTTTCTAACCAAGTGGTTTCCCTCTTGCCTCTTCTATCCCTTTACCTCTTCAAGCTCAAGGTAACCACCATCCTGAATGCCATGTTCTTTATTTCCTTGCTTTTTATTTTTATACAGTTTAATTGAATCTACATATATTCCTTGAAAGTATATATTTTAAAATATATAAAAGGGGCATCATGCAGTATATAATGTTTTGAGACTTAACTTTTTTCACTTACTATATTAAGATTTTAGTTCCATGAATATTTTTCAGTATTTTAAATGTTATTAAATATTAAAAGTAGATCATCTCTGACTCTTTTAAAAGGAAATGATTGAAAACTATGTCCATTGGAATGAAGACATAGGGGAATGGCAACTAGTGAGTATTAACCTTCATCCTTTCATGAAATACTATGGAATACTTCCTGTAGACTGGAGTTGTACTGGCTACAATGCGGAGAAAGGTGGTCCAGAGGATGAATCAAGTGAGAAGCCACTGAAGTGGATAAGATGTTTTAATAATTATGTTATAACACACAGAATATTCTGTGTGTTATACATAGTAGAGATGGTGTAGGTTGGTGTATAGGACTGAATGACCTCTGGGGTCCCTTTCTATTCCAGCATTCAAATCATGTTTTATGAGTGTGCCATCAGTATATCTCATAGTAATTTGCCTCATTCATAGTATTAATTGCTAATTAAGATAATTCTCCTCCCCTTCTTTTTTCCTTTTTTGAGAAATGTGTTGCCTACACAGGAAATAACATGAGAAAGCAGACTCCAGTTCCTGATAAAAAGGAGAAAGACGTAAGAGTGCTTTTTTAAAAAAACAAAACAAAAAAAACTACAGTTGGTTCTTTGTAGGAATATGGGTCACTAAATTGTGTTATCATCATGATATCTATTAATCAGCTCAGCTGAAAAATAGGCTACTATTTTGAGAATAGAGACTCTAGGATGGGGTGATTATTAGGACAGTTCTGTTCACCTTCAGTCGTGACGGCAGGCATTTCTGTGACAAGAGTGGCATGTAGTTCTCTTTGGAGACTCTTTTCACCATCTCTCTGGGCCTTGGGGATTTGGTTAGAGACTAGAATAAGTCTGTCCTTTTCAAAGCTGGTCCTAGTCTTAGGTCAACGAGAGGAAGTAGCAGCTTTAGGGAAAACAGCAGCAGTTTTTCTTTACTACTAAGGAATTTATAGTGTGTCAGGGCTTCTTCACCAACACTTAGTGAATACATTTGAGATAAATGGCATTAGAAAAAGATATCTTTAGATATTTATTTGGTTTTGTCTTTGGCTTTTCTTCCTAAGAGTTTATTTAGTATTTTAAATCTTCCCCCAAATCTGGTTTAAATTCTTCTGTAAGAATGTCTTGTGTTTATTTCCTTTACATATAGCCCTTTGAGGTGGACCTTTCCCATGTGTATCTTGCCTATACTGAGGAGAGCCTACGGCAGTCCTTGATGAAATTAGAGAGGCCACGGACTTCAAAGGGGAAAGCCAGGCCCAAAACAGGGAGAAGGTAAGAGCTGTCTTTGAGTCCCATGAGCCAAAGGCAGTGAGATTTTCAAATTAAGTACATTTAAAGGAAATTTAGTTAACATGATAAGTATTTTGTCTGATATATTTAACTAAATATTGAAGTCCTATGTAGTTACAATTTGAGGAAATAAAATCTGGCTAAAGAATTAAGGTCTTCCAACTTCTTTAGCCCTCCTGAGTAGTAGAATTTATTGTTAATTTACTTTGTTCTTTCCAAATGTATAATAAGTCATTACTATTTTAATTCCTTAATCCTTACACTAATTATTCTAGTGAGATGCTAATTAATTTGCCTCGTTAGACTCCCAAAGTATTGTATTCAGCTGATTCATTTTTCTGTCATGAATACTGCCCCAAGAACCTTGATTTCCTCAGTCACCAGTTAAATAAAACTTCTCTGTCTTTCCCTGTCCTTTGACTATTGAGTAGTTTATATGTATTGTAACATAGCCCAGAGAAATGAGGATGTGAAAGCCCTGGGCTGGAGCTTACTTCTTCTCTCCCTTCCCTACATTAAGTACTGTTCAGCTTATTTAAACTGACTAACAGACTTTGGGGCTCCTGAAATGACAGGAAATAATAAGCTTATATTTTTCCCTACTTTGAGTACCTAGACTTTTGAGTTACGTGTAGGGTGAAGTCTAAGTTTTAATATTTTTGTGCAACGTAATCTCATAGACATAACCTAAGTTTTATAAATTTGGGGAGGAGGAATCAGTAGCATATTAAAAGTGTACAAATTTTTATATTCTTCAACATTTAGATGTCAGACATTAAAAGCATTTCATATGCCAACAGAAGCCATGCATGTAATATTAATGAATGAAGCAAATCAATTCAAAGAAACGCCAATTCCTCTATGTCTTTGACTTTTCCACTTTTAATGGAGGTATTTTCCTCTTAACTCTGCAGTTAGTAAGAAAAGTGACAGTTCAAGTATGATGATAAATGGTAAGACAGTTGCCCTCAGTGTGGGAGAAAAATAGGCAGTGGCGTGGGCTGGGGCAAAACGGAGCGTGTTCTGTCTGGAGTGAGTGGCCTGTTACCCTGCTTCTAGTTAGTTTGGGGAAAGAGGGCCCATGGTTTCTGGATCTTCTTGTTTCAAAGGAGAAGCCAGAAATCAGGATTATTTACGTGAGATCTCCGTCTTTAGTCACTTTTTAAAAGCTATGTGGACCTAAAACAAACAAGCAAATAATTTCATAAGGTATTTGGATACAGTTTTTAGAATGCTTATTTTAAAATATACACTTTTTCAGTTTAATCTAAAAAAAAAAAAAACACAAATGTGAGCTAACATTCGCCGAGCCAAATCCAGCATCTCTGTGTGCCAGAATTAGCCTGCTGTATTATGAAAACAGTAAATGGCCATAATTATAGACAAATATACATGATAAGTGGTTTATTGATACTACATTACATTGCTTGACAATGTTCAATGTGATATTCCTCATTAGAAGTACATGTTTCAGTGTGCTAATAAGCAAAACTGCAATAAACATGATAGATTAATGGAACATTTCCATCATTTCCTACACAGTCATTTGTGAGTTGTTGCTTCAGATGATTTGTGACTCTGATTTTCACTGAATAAGCTGGCATCTTTAGCATACCCCAGAAGAGATAATAAGGGGGTTCAAATCTGGCAAGCATGCAGACCGCTTGGCCTGTCCACATTGTCTAGTCCAGTTTATTGTTCACTCACTCCTTCATCACTGTGGATGGTGGAGTGGAGGGCCTTGCTATTGTGCTCACTCTAGGTGACCTTTCCCTAGCCTGAAAAGGCAGACATTAATTGATCTCATGGTCAAGCATGTCAAACCTTGGCCTGTTTCTAGAGTCTATGGCTGCCTGGTATTATCTACTACAATTTACATACAATTTACAATTATGTAAAGTGTTTGCATTTCAATCTTTTAGGAAAGCATTCATGTTTTCTTTTTCTCTTCTCCAAACAGAAAGCGTTCTGCAAAGCCTGAAACTGTAATTGACTCTTTACTTCAGTAAATGTTACAGACTTAAAGTCAGAATAAAAATTAGTGATATCCTCATGCCTGGACAAAACCTTTAATTAAAACACTGAAGACTTTTGTGTTATTTCAAATAATGGAAGCTGTAGATCATGCAGTAAGACTGGAACTAATAATTTGCCTAATAACTTTTAGTCTATATATATTAAGTTAATATAACATTAAAATTGTACAATTGGTAATTGTTCAAATTGTCATATTAGTTTTCAACTTATACTGTGCAGGGAAGTTGAGAGAGCAGCTTATACTATAGAGAGTTGCAGTTTAAATGTATACATAAATCTGCTAGTGATTTACTCAACTACTGTATATTTAGATAACCGGATATTCAAAATAGAAAAAAAAATATAAGTCCTGTTTTGCACATAGAAAGTTGCAGGTCTAATTGTCCTATGTTTTCCTGTTACATATGAATGTATGGGCTGCAAATCTAAGAAATGATTCTATCCTAACACCCACCTGGCCTTTTATAATATGTTCTAATTTTTATACTAACATTCATTGCATTTAAAATATGAGATGGGTGATCTTATTGATCTATAGAAAATTTTATAATTCTATAGTCAATCTTTAGAAGTATACATGTTTAAAAAACAAAAGTTGAAGATATGTTTCATCTGGACCTCTCATGATTTCTTTTTGCCACTTTGACTTCAAGTCAAATTTTTTGTTTGTTTGTTTTGGTTTCATGTTTCTTGAAACATTGAATCTGTACCTGAATACAAAGGAGTCACAGCTGCAGAAAATTAAGAAGCTAAATACTGATCACTAACATTTGCCTCTATGGCTATTATTTTTTTAAATTCACTTTGAAACATGATTAACTGATGCTTTCCTGTGTCTGAGTTCTAAATTTTGATGAAAATTGCTCTGTTTCTCCCAACTGAGAAAGATCTCCGTTTTCTAGAAAATACAAAGCAAGAAAAGTATCTTTTAATTCTTTGCCTTTAAAACACTTTGTTTTGTCTTTCTTCTTATTTTATAAAGAAGATATTCTTCCCTGAATTTCTTCCATTGACAAATCCAGTTAGACCATACCTCTAAAATAAAAATTATTTTTATTTTATAGTAAAAAAAAAAAAAAAAGTCATAGAATTGTTTGTTCTTTTGTTGACTGCTTACAAAATTTTTATTTTTTTAAAGTTATGCTACTCCAAAACCACTATATATATATATGTATATATATATATATATCTCTTTTATGAGTTTTAAAATTATGTAATCAGCCCTGAAACGCATTGGCTACAAGTTTTAAGACTTCATAAATGAGTATTTATTAAGTTAACATTATTTTAGTAAGTTTGGTTAAATATTGGTTTATAATTACAAAGATGTATATAGAATGGGGGTGAGCGAATGTAGCGTTATTTGTGAGGTGGTGGTAAAAATGTGTCCATAAATTTAAAGTACATTCCAAAGGTGATGTACTAAATATCCTGTGTATGGTGAATATTTTCTAGGTAATAAGAATTGCAGTTAACTGGCAGCATTTTCTTTGTAACGTGTAAGATAGTTAGACATTTATAACTTTGTGGGGCATTGTTTAGGTACCGTGAAGACTTGAGGTGAATTTATGTCTTGTAAAAGCTTTGTGTAAGCAGAATATCTTGGCAATTGTAGATGCATATTTAACTCTGTTAATAATAACTCTAGAGAAATCTTAATTTTACCAGTAGGAAAAAAATATGACTACTTCTTCTTTTTAAAGAATGCACGTGTCTACCCTTTAACCATCCAGTTAATAGAAAAGGAATAACTTTAGAATTAAGCTTTAAAACATTATAGAAAATTTAAGCCAGTATGTTAGGTTTTTTTTTTCTTTTCCACGCCATAGCAGTAACAAAACGAAATCTATAAAAACTCAAAACGTTGAGAAATTTTAAAAACAGGCTACTTTAGCAGTTTTTTTTTAAAGCATTTATATTAGAACTGATTATACCAGATGGGCATTAAATAGTCATCTTATATAATACCAAGATTAGATATTGGAACCAGGCCTGAGTATCCATGTGAAAACATGGGAACCTGACTTTAGAGCTCTTCACTTAGCTCTAATCATAGTAGTTCTATGGTTTCTTCACAGTTACTTTGTGTCATTGTCCATAAATGAAATATTTTGCAACTTTGGTGTTAATTTCATGAAAGGCTATAGATGAACAAACTTGCTCATTATTTGATATAAGAAGCAGATTTAAAATGAGTGTCACATATAAGTAGGTTATTGAATGGCTATTTTTCTCTTTAATTTAAAAAAGTAATATTTATTAAAAGGAGCCTTGGTAGAATGTTGTTTGTGGTATGTTCTTTAGTAAACCTTGCAATTACATGTAGTAATAAGGATATTAAAATATAATAGTATTCCCCATTTTTGTCTAGATTCTTGTGAAGTATAAGAGTAATCAAGGTGGCGGGTCTACATCTATGTGTTCGTCCCACAAGTAGAATCCATTTGACATGCTGTGGCATCTACTTTCTGGGAAAAGGGGACTTTTTTTTGCTGCAAGAAATTTAAGGTTACTTTGGGGGAGAGGGTGGTGCTACTTCAACTGTAACATGTTTTTAAAATTATGATTATAGGTTTCGGTTGTTTTGTTTCTAGTCTTTTAAAAATATTTTTTCCCTTAACTCTTATCTTAAGGAAAGTCCCTCCCTTTCCTACAGGGCTGTGAATTAAAGAACGGGTAGAGTTTACATTTAAGTATGCCAGTGTCTGCCCAGTTTCTTAATGTATGCATTTGTTTTCCTTTTTAGTTATTCTTTGATCTAAAATGCTGGAAGAAAACATAGATCTTCCTAGTGCCTTTGAACTTATACTGTAGTCTAATTTAAATCATTAATAACTTAAATAGCATTACTACAATACTGTATACTGGCCAGAATTACAAATCGTATGATAAGTTTGTCGTATTAATTTCAAAAGCCAACTTTCATTGTATTTTATGTATATATTGTATTTGTTCAAGTTGTATATATTGATATTGTATGTATACATACAGCATGGTTAAATAAGAAATAAAAACCTTTACCTAATGCCTGTAATAGTGGTCTGCTTCTTTACTGAGCTATTTTTGTGTTTATGTCCATCCTGATCTTAATAGGCAGGTTCTTTGTGCTTGGCTCTCAGTTTCATGAGGTTAAGAGAGACCTGTGTAATTTCACACCAGAAACACTTAATGTTGTGGGTCTTTAAACAGAAATCATCATCATACAGAAACCTGGGAGAGATGTTTTTTAAAATGCCCCTTCTCATTGATAAAATTTATTTTCACCAAAAATATTTTAATCCAAGTTTTGTTATCCTTGTCATTAGGTGTTTGAGAACAGAAACTTAAAGAAGTCTGTATGGAAAATAAAGGTAAAAGGAGACGTTTCTTATTGGTAATGATATCATGATATCTTTCAAAAACTTTTAAGGAGCTTAAAATATCTCCAAAACAATAACGTTGCTTGGATTATTGTTAATCGTGTGTTCTTTGGACAAACATTTATTGATTACCAGGCACTGTGCTAGGCAGCCTCAAGAAGTTCACAGAGGACATTGAGAAGTTTTGATTTGTTAGCAAGTTTCAAAGGATTTCAGTGTGCTTTTTGTGTAGAGAGGAGACTCCTCTGGCCATTTCAGGTCTTGCTCTCTTCCTCTTCCCAAGTGCTAGCTAGTGTAAAACTTCTACACATGTTTGTAGAATATGGAAATAAAATTAGAGGCCTGCCATAGTGTAAGCAAGATAAGCAATAGTGCACCTTCCCACCCGCGGCCCCTCCTCCCCAGTTGAGTTCTGGAGCTGTGATACTATCACCAAGCGACACCACTAAGGTGCACCCTCAGGGAACCTATTACTGCCTGTGTTGTCAGGATGCTGCTGAGGTCGTTGTCCATCCCACCTTCTTATGAAGACCCTCAAGAATCTCTTTTTAAAACCAAGTACAGAAAAACACAAAAACCCCAAGTACCAGCCTAAGGTAACACAGTTAGTATGTGACTGCAGGAACTGTTCACATGATTCTGAAGCTGCAGCCTAAACTTAAAGCAAGCTTGGAGGAGCCTTCTAAGCACATGTTATAACATTATCTGAATGTCTCATTCTTAAGCTTTTTCATTTGCAAAGCAAATCAAGTATTCAGTCCTCCTTCGGAAGTTGAACAAATGTGTGGGAAAATGATTATGAAGAGGCTACTTCAAAAAGAACCTGTTTCCTCTCAGCATTTATCTTGGGCTTCCTGTGACCCAGTCTTCAAGTTACTTTTATCAACGTTATCAGAACATCACTTTGTCTTACCCAAACACGTTTATGGCTCTGACTAAAGAATATGACAGATCAGACATTCTTCTACACCTGCTCCCCTCCCCTACCCCTTTTGAGAGGACTGGGGAAATTTTAGTTTTTAATCAAAGACTTTATTTCTCCAGTTTTACAAAGGAATTTAACTGGGACTTTACAACTGAATAAAATACTTCTCAGAGTTGATACCAATCTTCACAAGAGGATATTGCCTAACCCAACCTACCAGAGTCATTACAGAAATATTATGTTTGCCTTGATTTCTACTCCATCATGAGTTATGCCACTCAGTCACCAGGTGTCTTCTGTATTTACTGTGGACCCATGCTGTGCTGAGTAGAAGGTCCTTGCAAAGCTCATGACCATGTAAGTGGAGAATGACAGTGCAGCATGTTGAGGGCTGTAGTGAAGGAGAGTGCATGGTGAGCTACCAGGCACAGCATTCCTCCCTAGCAGCTGACACAGTGTTAGAGACCGAACGTTGAACTAGGAAGAAGTTGACACGAAGGATGGATTAGAAGAGAAACACTAGAGAGCTGAGGAGAGAACGTCTGAGTGCTCGGGGCAAAGACAGCTAACTAGGAGGTTTTAGTACTCCACCTGGGAATGGAGCTCCAGTTGAACTGATGACTTGAAACAGGAAATCGGCTCCGAGACTAGAGAAAGTGCTTGCCTTGCCCTCATTGGAAAGTGGTAGGAACTGCGAGGCTCACCTTGTATGCTGGGAGGCCAGCCCATGAGAAAGCTGTACCTTGCACTCTGCCCTGAAATTCCCCGTTCTCAGATGATTTGGGAGAAGCCGATCAAGATGACATGCAGAGGAGGGTGGGAAACCTGGACAGGGCACTGGCTAATAGCAACAAGAGAGCCCCTGGGGCATTTTTATCAGAGACCGGCATTTCTAACTTGCCCAAGAATGTTTCAATGAAAGACATTCAGCCATAGATTTGAGCAAAATGTTTTTTTCTTTCACTTGTTTATTCAATAAGTATTTATTACCTACAAATACCAGTTAGAGATAGAATATATTCATAGGTAAAAGGTGGAAGTAGCTGATAGCAGGGAGGGAGGGGATCAGCCTTTGCTCTCAGTGTCACACATTCCATGCACAGATAAAAGTCACGTCCTATGAAGTAGGTATGGGTTGTAACTAAGTTTCCTAAGTGAATGTGCCTAAGCGACAAGCATCTCAACTTTCACTTAATCCTGAAGTTTCTTCGCTCATTCTTCTTATGTATGTCCTCCTTGATTCATGCTCTCTCACTCCCTTGGTAAACTCCAGGGCTTACTGTTGGGTATTTCCGTCCGTGGCAGACCTGCCTGGAGCCTGCATATGTCCCTTCTGTGGCCTGTTCTAAATCTTTCTTCCGATTGCCTTTCCTTTTACCATTCTGGCCTCATACACAAACTATAACCCACAAGTCATATCCTGTGGCAGACTACAGCTCACATTAGCCATTGAATGCAAATGAGTCTCAATCAAAGAAGAAAGGAAATTAAAATTTTCATTGTGGCCTTAGAAGGCTCCATGACTCTCTTAGTTACTTGTTGCCCTTGGCATACTGGTATTTTATGTGGGCAGGGTGAAACTGGCTGTGGTCAGGGTGAGACTTTAAGCTTTTGATTTGTTGCCTTATTTTGAAAGGGTTAAAAAGATGTTGCATGTTTTGGTATAATTTTAGTACTAGTATTAATTTTTGTCATGTGTGTGAGCAAGAATGAAAAGAGAATGCTCATTCACTGTTACTAGATCCATATTCTTGCAGAGAACATGTCTTTAAAAGGCAAATTTCAATGACTTGACACTTGTTTTTCTCCTTTGATTTTTTAAAATAACAGCTTTACTGAGATACGTCCATACTATAAAATTCATCCTTTTAAGTATATAATTCAGTGGATTTTAGTATTTTCACAGAGTTGTACAACCATTATTGACTATGTCATATCAAAACATTTTCCTTGCTCCCAAAAGAAACCCTATGTCTATTAGCAGTCACTCCCTCTTCCTTCATCCCCGCAGCCCCTAGCAACCAATATTCTACGTTTTGCCTCTATGGATTTGCCTCTTCTGCGCATTTCATATAAATAGAGTCATACCGTATGTGACCTTCGTGTCTGGCTTCCTTGATTTAGCACAGTGTTCCCAAGGTTCATCCATACTGTAGCATGTGTCAGTACTTTTCTTATTATTGCCAAATAATATTTCATTGTATGGCTATAGCATGTTTTGTTTATCAATTCATCAGTTGATTGACATCTGGGTTATCTCTACTTTTTTGCTATAAATGAATAATGCTGCTATGAACATTTGTGTAGAGGTTTTTGTGTGGACATATGTTTTCAGTTCTCTTGGTGTAGATACCTAGGATTAGAATTACTGGATCATATAGTAACTATGTTTAATCTTTTGAGGAACTACCCCACTGTTTTCCAAAATGGCTACCATTTTCCAATCATACCAGCAATGTATGACAGTTCTAGTTTTTCCACATCTTCACCACCGTTTGTTATTGTCTGTCTTTTTAATTTTAGTACTTTAACTTTTAAAAACTTTTTATCACTTATGCACATGGTCACACTCACAGACTTTAAATAGAAAGCCAAAAATCTCCTGCCCTGCTTTCACTGTTTCTTATTCCAAGTCCCATTCCCAACAGTCCACCCTCCCTTTTTTGTTTTTAGTTTCTCTGGTGGTTACCATTATAATTCCAAAGATTTCTTGATTTACTTACTATTGGTTTTACTTTATTGTTTTTTTCACTTTTTATTATAAAAACTTTCAAACACGTGTAAAAGCAGAGTAGTGTAATCAACCGTCATGTACCCATCCCCAACTACAACATTCATCAATTCATGACCACCTTGCCAACTATTTTTTTAATCAACTTTAGATATTTTGTATTGATTTCCGCATTGAAAAGTGAGAGTTTACCTTATTTATACTGCCCCTTCCAAATTTTTTATAGTAAGTTATTTTTAGATCTTCTGTTACGTTTCCAAGTTTGAATAAATACTTAAGTCTCTTGTTCCATCAACCTTAGACAGTGTTGGTGCCCCACCTCTCAATCTTTCCTTTTGCTTTTACCTCTCAATCATTTTGAGCTATTCCTTTTCTGTTGTCAGTTTGATAGCATTTAGTCTGTTCTGTAACCATAATTAAGTCTTCCATGCTTTGTCTATTGGTTGGTTCGAAGCTTGAGAATCAAAAGAATTTACATTATTAGGACATTAAATATTGTTCACTGCAGTGCCAGGTAGTGTGCTAGAATTATTTCCCCACTGTGGACTCAATATAACAACCCTTGTGCCAATGGGAAAAGAATGTTCTAAGCATCCAGTTGACACTTTTTAAATTCAGAATTACTTGATAGTCAGTGGGACTTATGGACCCACTCTGCAAGCTCTTTTAATTATCATTTACATCTTGTGTGGCCTTGTATTCTTTAATCATTTCATGCATTATGTCCCCAATGAGAGAGGGAACTCCTTGAGAGGGAAGTGGTCTTTCCTTTTTAATTCCCACACCAATTTTAGTCTCTCAGTAAATTAAATTGGTTTCCCCAAAAGTTGGCAAGTAAATATAGTCTATGCCATTAAAATGACATCATGCTGTCAGATTCTGCATATACTTTATTTTATGATGAGTTATAAATATATAAATATTTTTAAAATAAGGCTATTAAAAACTCATAAATTAAAATATTCAGCTTCAACACTTTGAGTATTTCTCCTTCATAATCATCTTTAGCCTTTCCAAGAAGTCTTTCAACGTACTCTTCTTGGCTTCATTCACAGAACAGGTCTACAAAAGAAACATTTCATTAGTTTTCATCGCTAAGTATTTGAGTCTTGCTCATGCCTGTCTACCTGGGTCAAGCCTATGCTGCCACTTGCCGCCTGAGCAATGATCAAACCAGGGCCTCCAGTCTGGCTTGACTCTGCCACTAGGCCAGCAGGGTTTGCCTGTTTTTGGTGCATGCTACCTACACTCCTAGAAATGGCCACTGTACCATCACTGTCTGCCTTCAGGGTGTGGCCATCCCTGGAGAGGTGTGTCACAGCTAGGTTCTGCTCAGGGACGCGTAACATGAAGGTGGAGGCTCAGACCTGCCTGCTGCCATCTTGAGCCCATGCCATCTGGACTGCTGAGAGAGAGATTCAGTCCCCCTGCCCATTAACCAGAAACATCATAGCTTGGCAGCCCTTCAGGTGGAAAGGATTCCTGGTACCTACCACCAGGCCACTGCTTCAGTTTGAATCTCAGCTCTACCAAATTATTAATTGCATTGCTTAGGACAAACTACTTCGTTTATAAAAGCTTCAGTTTCCTCCTTTGTAAAAGGGGAACAATAGCGCCTACTTCCTAAGATAATTAAGAGGCTCAAAAGAGACAATGAGGGCTTCCCTGGTGGCGCAGTGGTTGAGAGTCCGCCTGCCGATGCAGGGGACACGGGTTCGTGCCCCGGTCCGGGAAGATCCCACATGCCGTGGAGCGGCTGGGCCCGTGAGCCATGGCCGCTGAGCCTGCATGTCCGGAGCCTGTGCTTCACAACGGGAGAGGCCACAGCAGTGAGAGGCCCGCGTACCGCAAAAAAAAAAAAAAAAAAAGACAGTGTAGTGTCATCTCCCTGTTTTATTACCTTGTAAATAAGGCAGCAGGGAGGGGATGAATGTCCCCAATTCCTCTACTTGGCATTAGATAACATCCACTCTTGGCTCTGCCTCTTTCCTACCATCAGTTCTCCCCTCTTACTGGATCATTCCCACTGGTATACTGACATGCTCCATATAGACCTCACCTTAAAAGAACTTCCTTCACACCATACCTGCCCTTCAGCTATTGTTCTATTTCTCTGCGACGTTATAGAAGAGCACTTCGAAGGAGTTTTTATACTCAGTGCCCCTTTCTTTTCACTCCTCCCCAGCCCCATTCTCTATGGAATCCACTCTAGTCAGGCTTTCATTCCCGAATCTCCATTTATATCAGCATCACCGGTAACCTCCCTCATGACAAATCCAGTGGCCATTCTCAGCGTTCATCGTTCTTGACTGTTAGTACATTTGACACAGTTGATCACTCCCTTCTTCTTAAAAGAGTTTCTTCACTTGCCTTCTGGGGTGCCATACATTCTTTGACTTCTCCTACTTCACTGGCTACTTCTCAGTCTCTTTTGCTGGACCCACCTCTTCCTGACCTCTATATGTTAGAGTGCCTCTGGGCTCCGTCCTTGGATTTTGTTCTTTCTTTATGTGACTTTTTTTTTTTAAAGCGGCCCTGCTTTTTTTTTTTGGCTGCGTTGGGGCTACGTTGGTTCTTCATTGCTACACGTGGGCTTTCTCTAGTTGCGGTGAGCAGGGGCTACTCTTCCTCGCGGTGCACGGGCTTCTCATTGCCGTGTCTTCTCTCATTGCGGAGCACGGGCTCTAGACATGTGGGTTTTAGTAGTTGTGGCTCGCGGGCTCTAGGCGTGTGGGTTTTAGTAGTTGTGGCTCGTGGGCTCTAGAGTGCAGGCTCAGTAGTTGTGGCACACAGGCTTAGTTGCTCCGTGGCATGTGGGATCTTCCCAGACCAGAGGGCTCAAACCCATGTCCCTTGCATTGGCAGGTGGATTCCCAACCACTGCGCCACCAGAGAAGTCCAGGCCTGTGGCTTTAAACAACATCTTTCTAAGCACTCTTCACTTAATGTCACAAGTTCTGACATCTCCCTTAAGCTTCAGACTTTTTCAACAATCTTATCAACATCTTCACTTGACTATTAAGTAGGTACCTCAGACTTACTATGTATAAAATTCAACTCCTGACCTTAAGCTCAGCCACCAGCCCTGATCACCCCCCGTCTTCCATATCTGATAACAGCACCAACCATTCCCCAAGGGGCCCAGGCTAGGAATCAGGAGGCCACGTTTTACTCTCTCCCTCACCCCCACAACAGATGTGTCAGCAAGCCCTTCTGGCTCTATTTTTGGTTAATATCCCAAATCAAACAATGTCTGCTGCTTCCACCCTGTCACACCCACCATCGTCTGCAGGCTGGAATACTGTGGTAGCCTCTCAACAGGCCATCTTGCTTCTATGCTTACCCCTACTCAGTCTATTTACTGCACAGTAGCCAGAATGATCATTTTAAAAATTACATAAATCAGATCGTGGTCTCTGCCTTGCTTAAAACCCTGTGGGAGTTTCCCACCATGCTTGGGGCAGAATCCATAGGCCCTGTGTGATCTCCTATTAAAATCTTCCTCCCTCACTCTGATCCAGGCCCTCCTATTAATCTTTGAACACATGAAGCTCATTTCTACCTTAGGGCCTTTGCACAGCTGTTCCCTCTGCCTGGAATGTTCCTTCCAAATCAGTAACATGGCCGGCTCTGTCACTTAGTTCAAATATCTGCTCAGATGATGTCACCAACTACTAAATCAGCCCTCTCCCTCAGGACCCCTGTATGTTCTTTATTCCTGTATTTTTCTTCATGGCACTTATCACTACTGGAATCATATGTTTGTTTGCTTTTCTCACTCACCCATTACAACATTCTGTAAGAGCAAGAACTGTATCCCCAGTGCCTAGAACAGTACCTGTAAGCAACACTCACAGAGCCTCAACAAATATTTGTCGAATGAATGAATGGGTTGATTAACCAAGGGTACTACTATTCATAAGGAGAAATATCTTAGAAGTAAGGCTGCCATCCATTGGAAGGCAAGCTGTTGGCATAATGCAGCTTACCATGTTTGCCATGCTGCTGAGGTTCCTGTGAAGTCCACTCAGGGGTTTGTTGAAGCACTTGTGGTATCTGTAGATATGCCGAAGCACAGTCCCGGCCCTGCAGAAAGTTTCCTTCTCAGTTGTGTTCTAGAAAGAGAAATTCCACAGATAGCCACTGCTAGCTTGATTTTGAACATTGGGGAGAGATGTTTCCTTCTGATTTCTTCTTTCCAGAAGGACAAGTGGAGAAGGTGAATTTGCTCAACTGTGGATCAGGTATTCAAGTATTCCTGCCATGTGAAGGGAGGCTGCTCGTCACAGCAAACAACCTCTTCCAGTTACTTGCAAATGCAGCAGCCTTTTCCTGAAACCTCCCAATTTCTTTTCCCTTGGAGGGTTTTGCTGAAGGGGTACCTGAATCAAGTCACTCAACTAAGTAAATGGGAGAGTGGGGATTTGCATGCGGGGCCATCTGTCTACAACCCATGTCTGTTTCTTTATCCCATGCAAGCTCTTCTTTCTGTGGATGCAGTTGTATGTACATCAGCTCGTAATCAGAGTCTGCTCTGTCTTATTCCTGTAATTTATAGTTTTTGAATCCAGGTTCCCTGGAAATCCCACATGTTTGTTGAATAAATGAATGCCCATCCTTTGACCTGGACAGTGCCACTTTGGCCAGCACTCTCCATTTAACCCTCCCCATGGGAAGTAGCAGTGTGAGGAGATACATGTCCCCACACAGCTAGACGTGAGTGCCAGGATCAGAGCTAGGTGCCCCAGGAGTGTGGCCTGGGGAGATGAGGGGAAGCTTCTGAGAAAGGGTGCTGGGCCTTGGACAGAGTTTCTGTTAGGGGCTTCTAGCCTCGAATGTGCAGGGTCAGAACCTCCTTGGAATGCTGGCAGCCCTGGTGTGAGTCTGGCCACATGGCTCTTCCTGGGGACCTTTGAGCCTCAGAAGAGGGCTTGTACAAGTGCAGAACCAGCTCTTTTTGAGCTGGGAGAGGGAATGTGTCTCGGCCTGGTCAGGCCTGGTGTATCCTCTCTCTCTCCACTGAAGCTGGGAGAGGGAATGTGTCTCGGCCTGGTCAGGCCTGGTGTATCCTCTCTCTCTCCACTGAAGAACAAAGGCCCGGAGCCTGGAGGGTGTCTTAGCTTGAGCCCAATCCAGCTCAGATAAACCTGTCTCCAGCCTCTGCCAGGACCTGCTCTTGTTCCTTGCCACTCAAAATGTGGCCCATGAAGCAGCAGCGTGGGCGTCACCTGGGAACTTGTTAGAAATGCAGAATCTCAGACCTCCCTCTGGACCCACTGAGTCACAATGTGCGTTAACAGGATCTCCAGGGGATTTATGTGAAAAGCACTGTCCAAGCAGCTTTCTAGGGTCTTCCGTATTTTTTCTGATTACCAAACTTTTTACTATAAAAGTAGTATACAGGGGGCTTCCCTGGGGGCTCAGTGGTTGAGAGTCCGCTTGCCGATGCAGGGGGACACGGGTTCGAGCCTGTTCGAGCCTGTGCTCCGCAACGGGAGAGGCCACAACAGTGAGAGGCCCGTGTACCGCAAAAAAAAAAAAAAAAAAAAGTAATATACATTCAACAAAAGTGAATTCACTCATTATCCCATTAGCCAGAGAGAACTACTGTTAAGATTTTGCTAACTATCTCTCCAGATTTTTTAGTACTTTTTTTTCTGCAATAGGGACCAACTATTGATACCCTTTTATAACCTTTTTACACTTAACATATAGTACTAGCAATTTCTTACATCATTCAGTAATATTTAAGAACATGTGATTGAGAGCTGTGTAGGAACCTAGGGCATATTTGTGCCATAGTTGGTCAATCCCCTATCACTGCAGTTTTTTGCTTCTGTAAATAAAGTGGCAGCAAGCCATCTGTATAAATCTTTGTGTTCATCTCTTATTTCTTTAGGCTAAATTCTAGGAGTGCAGTTCATATTTTAGGGTTTTTCCAGGAAGATCTTGACCCAGACCGAAGCGCCAGAATCCTAGACTACGAAAGCTTCCCCTTTCCGCTGTGGAGCTTGACGGCCCATGGGCAGGGCCTTTGGAAGGACATGTATGTACTTAATGAAGTACATGTCCTTCCAAAGGGCGTATACTCTGGCTGGAAATTTAAGAGCAGCACCAGTATCTCTGGGCTCTGGGAGTCAAGAAACCTCCCATAAATCACCATACCTCTGGGGGGCTTTGTGGGTGAGCAGAGGTGGCGAGGCCAAGGAGAAGGCAGACACTAGCTGAGTATGCAGATGGAGGCAGACGCCTATGTTGCTGGAGAGAGAACAATGAGGTTCAAGAATGCCAAAAAGAGAAGAGATCCTTTGCTTATTTGTCCATCAAAATCTGATGAGCCTTTTCTAAAACGTTGGCTAGGAGCTTAGAAATTATACTGTCTCAGTTTTGAGTATGTAGCCATTTAAGGTAGGAAAACACCCTCTAAAGATATTTTTCAGGGACTTCCCTGGTGGTCCAGCGGTTAAGACTTCACCTTCCAGTGCAAGGTGTGCGGGTTCGATCCGTGGTCGGGGAGCTAAGATCCCACATGCCTTGCAGCCAAAGAACCAAAACATAAAACAGAAGCCATATTGTAACAAATTCAATAAAGACTTTAAAAATGGTCCACATGAAAAAATCTTTAAAAATAACTAAATAAAGATATTTTTCAAAAGACTTTCTAAAGGTGATTAGGATAAGTATAGAAAAGAGTTTGAATCAAATGGAAAACTTTTAAAAGAAGGAATTCTAAGGGTCTTTAACTAGTTTTAGTTAAAGTCCTTAATGTTTTAGTTCCATTGGCATTGCGGCAACAGGATGACACTCTGACCGCCCACTTTTTCGACTGCTTGTCCAGCTTTCGCTGCCTGAGTGTGTCTTGCTTAGGGCATACCTTGAGGAGCCATGCGGACTCTGCAGTTCAGAACTGCTCAGGAAAGAGGCTCAAAAGGGAGGCCTGGTCTCCTGCCAGAAAGAAGCCCACCCCTCATAGGAATACAGAAGTGGTGGCACACCATTTGGGAGACTTCGGTGCAGGGATTCTGCTAGAGTTCTAATGGGTCTTGACTAGCTTCATTTAAGGACATACAGATCCATCCTATATGTATTGTATTCATTATCTCCACTTATGCCCAAATTTAGTCAGCGAATGTGATGTATGAAAAGAATCCTCTACTTTCACTTTTAAAAAAAGATTTGAGGGTTGGCATAGAGCTCTCTGAAAAATTATGGACTTTTGCTCCCTTTGGTAGTAGGAAATACCTCCAACTAATGGTCCACCCAAGAAGTCCTTCCTAGGCCAGCCAGCTTGCTTGCTTTCCACCTTTCTCTTCTTCAGACCACCTAACTTCAGAGACACTCGGGAGGCATTGCATGTGGAACCCAGGATTTAGATCAGCACATTCTTCCAGCATTTGCCAAGAGCAGGATGCCACCCAATTTGGGCATAATGGAACTCTTGATCCCCAAAAGCACTAAAATGAATATGCTGGACTTTGGAAAGATGTTCTTCTTGAGAACACAAAGAAGTAACTTTTCCTCCCACATAGCATCTTTGTGGGTTTTGAAAATAACAACCTTTCTTTGTTCTGAAGTATCTTAATAGATAAGTAAGCAGTGCTGAGTCTTTGAGGAAAAGAGAAGAATGGAAAAACAAGCTTGTTAATCCAGGAGGAATAGAAGCAGTTCGGGAGAAGGCATGAGATAGGTAAGAGTGAAGGAAGGCAGCGGGGACTGGCCTGCACCTTGGCGGGGGTGAGGGCTGGCTGGGTCTTCTAGAGCAGCCCAGAGTGGGGTCGCACTGGGCTCGCAGTCATGGAGGGTTTGATCATTTCCTAACGCTGGCCTCTTTCTTAGAATGATTGCTTCTCTACAACCAGTTTTTGCCTTTAATCAGGAGTTATATCATACGATACCATTTTCCACTAACTCAAGAGTTGGATTCCAGCCAACTTTCAAAATCGCTTTCAAATCTTCACATGTAGAAACTGAGGCACAAAGAGGTGCGGAGACTTACCAAAGGCCACAGAGTTAGTTAATGGCAGAACTGGGGCTAAAGCCACAGACCGTCTCACTTCCAAACCCTCGGCACTTCTGCTGGGGCCCTGCCCTCGGCTTTGGCAGCACCCTCCCAGCAGTGCAGCCAACCTCTGGAGAGCCCAGAGCACAGCTCAGCGGACTCCTGGCTATTTTATTTCTATATATATACAATATTAATATATGAGATATATAAAGTATCAATACATTATATATATATAATATATAAATTTATATATATATATAAAATCTCCAAGTCCTTCCAACCTGCTGATGGACAGATACAGTCTGATATGGGATGAGATTCTGAAGGATAAAATTATATAATATGTATTATATAATATTATGTATTATACGTTTATATTATATACTATTATATAATTACAGTATTACATATCATTGTATATCAGACTCCTGGAATAATCTTTAATGAAGTGAGATAGTCCAGATAAAGGCCCGGAGACCAGCTTTGCTCACGAGCAGGACAGGCCTGCCCTGTGGCCTGGGTGCTGGGGTGTGGCCCTGCCCAACCCATAGGGCTTCACTCCTGGCCAAGTCTAGTACATGTGGAAAGCAGGTGGTTAGGAGACCACTGGTAAATTGAAGCTTTGGGTTTTTCATTCTCAGTCGTGTGTTTCCATGAAAACAGGAACTGATGTGCAGAAAGCTATTGATATGGCTGTAGTCATGTGTTTGTCAGAGAAAAATGCACTATCAGCTGTCAAATCTATCTCCTCCCACTGCAGATCGGGGGGTGGGGGTGAGATGCAGCAGGAGGAGGAAAGGTGAGATGCTCTGGTAGGAGCAGCCGGAGGCAGGGATATGTCGGCCCCTGTCCAGCAGGACGGTTCTGGACAGGCCAGAGGGGAGTTGGCAGGACAGAGCAAGATGAGGGTCTCTGGACAGCCATGCCCGGAGCCGGTGGGCTGTTAGGTGACCAGGCTGCGGAAGAGGAGGGGCTCTGGCGATACCTTTCCTGTTGCCGTAGGAAGTCTCTTAGACAAAATGAAAGCTCTCTCAACGTGTAATCTCAATATCTGTTTTTGTGAGAGTATTTGGTTTTTCAGAAATATATGGGCCAGAAAAATTCTCTCCTTCAACAGCATTTATTGAGTGCCTCCTATATTCCAGGTACTCGACCTGGGTTGGGTAAAATCCTAAAGAGCTTTTCCTGGACTGGGATCTGAATTATGACTACAAAACCCAAGCTTTCTATTATACATCTTCTAAATCAAGTGAAACCAGAAACACCAAAATGTATTTGAGAGTAAAGATCAGAATTCTCAGTCTTTGAAAACATTTCACCCATTATAGTTAATTTGGGCCTGTTCCCTTTATGTTAAAAAAAAATTTCTTGTTCGAACACTTGTGGATGGCTCTCCTCACCAAGTCACCTATCTGCCAAAGCAGACCCGGGACAGCTCTTACCTTTGTGGTGGCAAAGACGTCTTCTACAGGCAGCTCCATGCACAAGTTCTTGGCCCAGGCAGGAACGAGAGAGCAAGAGACAGAGTTACCTCCAACTGCACAGGGTAAGCCTTGCTGAGCAGCTCTGACTCCCTCAAACTGAGAAAACTTCCTGTGGTCCCTCGGGTGAAAAAAGTGCCAGGAGACAAGTCTCCACACTGCTCCCCATCCTATCACCAACCACCAACTACCAACTCTCTAGAAGCTGTTATGTTCTTTTCACAGTCTAAGAAATATGCACAGCATCACCAGAACATCTGGAGAGATGGTACCAGATAGCTTACCTTTCTTGCTGTGAGGATGTTCAGCGTTTTGATGATCTCTTGTAAGGTAACATCGCACTTGTGTCCATGGACGAAGTTGCTGGTACATGCCAGTAAGCAGACTAGCATTGGGATCAGTTGGGAGGTGAGACCCATTAATAGATCTCTATTTGCACTGACAATGTGAGACAATCAGTTTACCAGGAGAAGCTAACAATGCAATTCTGACAAAGATATCTCTATATATAGATTTAAAATTGCTGAAACTGAGGGAAAATAAGTTTACATTGGAAATTTTCATTACACCAGGTTGTCAGTCATGTGGGACCAATCAGCGCCTCTCTTCCAGGAGAAAAAATGCCTCACAAAAACAGGTAAAATGTTCCTGTGAAATCAGACCAGTAGGAAAATGAAACCTTTTTTTTTTTAAATTAACTACAAAGTATCAGCATAGGAAATTACACCATAATTTGCTCTTTAGGTTAGTCTTATCAGCTTGGGGTTGCTGCTGGCTTTTTGCTTTGCATAGAAGGAGGAGGCCACAGGTGTCCGAATTTGTTTCAGTGCAGCCCTCCTGGGGAAAGATAGAGTAATATCAAGAAAGTTTGACTTGATTAGTATTTCAACCTGGCTTCTTCCAAGTATGGGTGGCATCTGGGAAACTCTCCTTTTGTGGAAAAGCTGATCTGGGGTTCTTTCTCTGGGTAGAAGGAAAGTAATAGGCACAGATTCTCTCCTGTCCTAGCACTCAGGCATGCCGTTCTTCCAAATTGAGGATTTTGGCCAAGGACTTGTAATATGAGGTGGGGCTTAGTTAGGGTCACATTAGGTCCATAGGTCTTTAACAATAAGGAGGCTCTAGGCAAAGTATGCCTATCCTGAGCTTTCAGTGGTTAAGACTCAGCACTTCCACCGCAGGGGGCGAGGGTTCGATCCCTGGTCAGGGAACTATGATCCCACGTGCCGTGTGGCAAAATAAATAAATAAAAGATAAAAGTAATTTAAAAAAAAAGGAATGACCACTTTGAAAATGGAATTTAAATACAACCTTAGCTAATTAGGGAAAAAGAGCCATAATTTCACAGATTTACCAATCAGTTGTCCTGATCAAGGTGCCACCACTTGCCCTGGTGCTTCAGTCTAATCTCTATGGACCTGGTGACGCGCTGCACGCCCCCATTGTTCACTCAGATGCCTGCGCCCCAGAACGCGACTGCTTATTCCTCCCTGAGCCTCTCCTTCTCTTTCCTCTCCACTTCCCTTCTCTTGGTTTCTGACCTTCCTCTCCCTACTGATTTCCTCTGGAAGGTCACACAGAAAAGATGACTGCTAAGGTCATTCCTGCGTTTTGGCTCTTATTGCAGTGATTTGTACTCCGTGAAAGAAAGGATCTGGATAGTTGTATCAAATAGGTCCTTGTGGGCTTCCCTGGTGGCGCAGTGGTTGAGAGTCCACCTGCCGATGCAGGGGACGTGGGTTCATGCCCCGGTCCGGGAAGATCCCGCATGCCGCGGAGCGGCTGGGCCCGTGAGCCGTGGCCGCTGAGCCTGCGCGTCCGGAGCCTGTGCTCCGCAACGGGAGAGGCCACAACAGTGAGAGGCCCACGTACCGCAAAAAAAAAAAAAAGGTCCTTGGACCATATTTAGGATCCTTCCATTGGGACTGTGCAGGGGGTTTGCCGGACTCAGTGCAGTGACTTCTGATACCAACTGTGTGGAGTTGGGCCAAACCTCCCAGGTTAAGGGCACAGCCTCCACAAGACTGCCCTCATTTTATACACTGGCTGAAAATTTGGGAGTCCCCAGTCCACCTTCACTTCTGGCCAACTGGCTACCAGTTTGAGTTCCCACTATCCTCTCAGGTTCAGTAATTTGCTAGAATGACTCACGGAACTCAGGGAAACACTATACCTAAGGTTATAGTGTTATTACAGCAAAAGGATACAAATCAGACCCAGCCAAAAGAAGAGACACAGAGGGTGAGGTCTGGGAGGGTCCCAGGCACGAAGCCTCCTCTGTCTTCTCTCCCTGGAGTCACAACATAGTGCTTCCGCAGCACCTTGATGTGTGACCACACACAGAGCATGCCAACCAGGACAGCTCATCAGAGCTTTGGTGTCCAGTTTTACTGGGGTGTCATTCAGTAGGCATAACTGACTGAATCCTTGGCCACTCGATTGACCTTATCCTCCAGCCCGCTCCGTGGAGGTCGGGCTGATATCACAACAGCTTAATGGTGTGACCAGTCCACCTTGAGTGGCCTCATTAGCATAAACTATTAGGCCCTGCCACAAATAGCAAAGATACTCCTGCAACTTGGAAAATCCCAAGGATTTAGGGGCTACCTCCCAGGAACTGGTGACAAAGACCTGTCAAATTCTTCGTTCAAGGGGTTTGGAGGTTACCTCCCAAGAGCCAGGACAAAGATCAGACCTCTCTGGGTAAGTTAATTCTTTTTTTTTTTAATAGCTATTTCTTTTATCCCCCAGTTTTATTGAGATATAACTGACATACAGCACTGTATGTTTAAGGTGTACAGCATAATGATTTATCTTATATATCGTGAAACGATTACCATAAGTTCAGTTAACATCCATCATCTCATATAGATACAAAAAAAAAAAAACAATGTTTTTCCTTGTGATGAGAACTCTTAGGATTTACTCTCTCAACAACTTTCAAATACACCACAATGCAGTGTTAGCTACAGTCACCATGCTGTATATTACATCCCCAGTTCTTATTTACAACTGGAAGTTTGTACCTTTTGACTGCCTTCATCCAGTTCCCCCTCCTTCCACCTCCCACCTTTGGTAACTGCAAATCTGATCCCTTTCTCTATGAGTTTTGTTTTTTTAGATTCATATGTGAGATTATACAGTATTTGTCTGTCTGAGTTTTCACTTCAGGTTCTACGTTGTCACAAATGGCAGGATTTCCTTTTTTATGGCTGAATAATATTCCGTTGCACATATACCACAAGTTTTTTATCCATTTATCCATGATGGACACTTAGGATGTTTCCATATCTTGGCTATTGTAAAAATGCTGCTATGAACATGGGAGTGCAGATATCTCTTTGAGTTAGTGGTTTTGTTTCCTTTGGGTATACTCCCGGAAGTGAAATTGCTGGTTTGTATGGTAGTTCTATCTTTTAATTTTTTGAGGAAGCTCCATAACTGTTTTCCACAGTGGCTGCACCAATTTACATTCCCACCACCAGTGCATGAGGGTTCCCTTTTCTCCACATCCTTGCCAACATTCTTGTCTTTTTGATGATAGTTATTCTAACAGGTGTGAGATGATATCTCTTTGTGGTTTTGATTTCCATTTCCCTGATGATTAGTGATGTTGAGTTCTTTTTCATGAATTTGTTGGCCATTTGTATATCGTCTTTGGAAAAATGTCTATACAAGTTCTTTGCCCATTTTAAAATTGGATTATTTGTGTTTTTTGCTAGGGTAAGTTTTTTCTTCGCTACGCAAATGGGGGGGAATTAATAAGAAAGGGCAGCCTTCCTTCCAGGATAACTAGAGACTTCAAATCCCTATTAACTATTACTTGGAGTAAAATGGTGCATAGTCCTTTTTTAAGGAAATGTTCAAGTTAAAACGGGAGTAGCCTTGCAAGTGCAGGCACATGGGACAAGAGTCTGCGGTGCAGAGCACACCTCTCAAAGCCTTGAGGTTTGAGGTGGAGCTGGAGAGGAGGGGTCAGCAGAATCCCAGCATGCGTGGGAGGCAGTAGAAAAGCTATCTACGTGTTGAACAGTTGTTTTTTGAGCCTTTGCTGAGGGCCAAAGCCTGGGCTTGGGGTTCTGGGGCAAAGATGTGAGTCAGAAAAGGAATATAATTTGGGATCCATAGCTCAGAAGCAGAATACAGCTTCTTTTTTGCTTTGTTTCAACGGTTGGATGAGGCCAGGGAAAAAAGGATAAACTCTCCAGACTGTCAGGAGTGACCAGAAGGTCCCCACCCTTCCTGCAGGGCGAAACCATGGCAGCTGTGCATGTGGCTGGGTGTTCAGAGGCCAGGAAGGTGGGGGCCTGCGTGTCGGGGACGGCAGCCAGCACCCAGCCGCATGAGGACAGAGGTGAAGGAGCCTCTCCCAGCCTGCGGGAGTCACGGGCCAGGATGGCGAAGCAGGTGGGGCGGCACTATAAAGCGCAGAGGGAAGTTGAAGACTGCTGGGCCCTGGCTGGGTCAGTCAGAGACTCCCTGAGCCCTGCTTCTCTTCTGTCAGCTGAACCAGACAACACCCAGCAGAGCCCTTTCTGACTCCTCGTGGGCTTCTTCATGAAAAAAGTAATACTCCTCCAAGGGAGTGATACTTAGCAGAGATTGGAATAGGTCGGGGACTGGCGGGGGGGTCAGTGCTAGGGCAGGGGGGCAGCAGTGGGAGGCCTAAAGGGGGGAGCTCCCCGAGGAACCAAAGAAAGCCAGTGGGCCTGGGAAGGGAACCAGTTAGAACACTGCGGCCGTCCTGTGAAGGAGGGAGCTGGTGTGGAAGGTAAGGCGGTCAGTGCTGTGGGTCTAGTGTTACTTAGCAGCAGTAGAGGGATCTGGAGTCAGTGGGACCTGGCGGTTCTGAATCCCAGCTCTGCCACTTACTTTCTTGGTGACTGGGAAAAGGGTGACCCTGTCCAGGCTTCTGTGTCAAATTAGGCTAATAATAGGGGTGTGGGAAGGTGATCGGAGGTAATACATATAAAGTGTTTGGTGTGCCTGCCACGTAGGAAGCCCATAAATGCCAACTATCATTTTCACCATTATCATTGTTATCATCATCATCATTATTATTAATAGCACTTAGAATTGGCTGAATATGGGGGTGAGGAAGAGGACCCCAGGTTTGTGGCTTGGGGAACTGCCATTCACAGAGATGACCTTTGAGGAGGGAAGGAGGTTGGTGGGGGTGGAGCATGAACTGAGGCGCCTGCAGCTCTGAGCTGAGGAGGGTCTGTGTTGTAGACAGAAGATGAGGGGAAGCCAAGGGAGCAGTGTGGTCCTGGATGGGAGGGCGAGGGAAGAGAGGGAACAGGAAATGACTGCGGCACTGGAAACACAGAAGGAAGGAGAGGAGACAGGCAGCCAAGAGCCTGAGAGGGAGCCCAGGCATGAGCCTCCGAGGACAAGTGAGTGGTCAGCAGCGTCACATGTTCCTCAGGGTCAGGCGAGATAGGGGCAGAAGGGCTTCTGCTGGATTTAGCGATGGGAGAAAATCGGCGACATCACTGAGGTGGCTTCTGGAGCACAGTAGGCTCACGAAATGGAAACACTGGTGTAGATGCATTTCGGAAGGCCAGCTATGTTGGGGTGCTAGTTGCGAGCAGTGGGGGACCACACACGATCAATAGTTATTTTTTAAATGGGACATTCTTGAGCACAGGCTTCCTCAGCTCTGTAAATGGCAACTCCATCCTTCAGGGTGCTCACACCATGGTGCAAACCTCCCGTGCCCCACACCCGATGTGCCGCCAAAGCCTCTGCCTTCAGACTGCAGCCCTGCTCGGAAGCAGGGCAGATGGGGCAGAGATGAGTTGCTAACTGTTGAAGTTGGGCAATGGATACCTGGGAGTTACTAAGACTTATATGGGTAGAAAAATTAAATATATGTTTAGTATTTATATTTATGTATTATATAATATACACATATTTACAGTGATTATATATCATGTATAATGTTGATGTAAATAACATATACAAATAAGTGTATATTATGTAGATGACCCAGATATCTCCTGAATTTGACCACATCCCACCCGCCACTGCCACGTCCACTGTCATTTCCCACCTGGGTTTCCACAGGAGCCTCCTGACTAGTCATTCCGCCCCACCCTTGTCTGCACAGTCTGCTCTTCACACAGCAGCCAGTGTCGCTGCATCACACCTAGAGCTGGAGCAAAGCCCAGTCCTGCCCGTCCTCTGCTCAGCCACGCGAGTGCTTGCTATTGCTAAGACTTTGACACTCGCTGTCCCCTCTTCCTGGACGTTTCCCTCTGTTGTGTGAACAGCTTTCTCCCTGCTCCTCCCATTTCATCCAGGTCTTGGTTCTATCCTATCTCACCAGGTGGACTTCTCTGACCTCCTATCACAACATGGCAGCAGCCTCTACCTGCCCCTGACTGCTCCGTTGCCCTCTGCAGCGCTCACTGCCCCCTGCACACCCTGCATTCTCTTGTTTGTGCATCCTGTCCCCCCACTAGAAGTAATCTTGTTTTTTTCACCATGTGTCCCCAACACCCAGAACAGTGTCTGGCACCTAATGAAGGCCTCAGGAGATCCTTGTTGCATGAATGCATGGAGCTCCATTTCACAGAGGGGCAGCTGAGACTCTGCCTGAGTCACAACAGGGGAAGTCAAGGGGACAGCTGGGACTTGAAGCCAGGGTGGCTTGGACCCTGAAGTCCTTGCCCCGAGCCCCTGTAGAAGGCAGGGAGAATAGGATTCTGGGCATAGATGCAGGGAGGACCGCCGACACGGAGACGAGGGGACAAGGGAAGGAGGGAGCTGAGACAGGCACGACTGTGGACTCGGGCTTTGCCAAGCAGATGGTAAAGTAGCTTCTTCTCCTGGAAGAGAGGGAAGCTGGCTGAGGAGTCTGCAGGAGCGGTCCATCTACCCACAGGGCATCCATGTCTCTTCAGCTTCAGAGCTGGGCTGGCGGCCCACCCTCTCCCATCTCCTCCCCCTCTGATCCCCCTATCCCCACCTCCAGGCAGGTCAGGCAAGGTAAAGACCCCCAAGAATGGAACGTCGTCTTCTCTCTTCAGAAACACAGGATCTGATTGGCCCAAGGAGGTCCAACCCATGAGAGGAATAGTACAGGACCTCCTGTGTCCCAGGCCCCTACAAAGGCCCACCTCCTCTCCTGAGACAGCTAATCCCAGGGAGCAGTTAGACCTGAGATGAGGGGTCCTGGGCTCGTGCCTCCCAGGTGCGCTGCTGGCCCTTCCCAACCCCAGTCTTGATCAGCTCCCTCCTACCTCACGGACCAGGCGTCAATTCCATGTTCTGTTGCTTTATTTTTTTTAATTAAATTTGTCTTTGTCCCCCAGTGCGAAATGAATGTATGCTCATTATTCATAGAAAATGTGGGAAGACAGGGATTAGAAGAAAAAGAAGACAATGAATGAGAAACTGCTTTTCTAGTGAGGTGACTCCTTCTGGCCTAGGCCCCTCTGGTCCGCCAGAGGCCATCAGCTTGGGTCTGTAGGGGTTGCCACAGCCAGCTCGGCCCTTCCCACCTTCGTGGGTTTCAGGAAGAGCCCTTGGGCCCCACGCTTGTCCAAGTGATGCAGAGAGCGGAGCTGATGAGAGTTGCTATATTTACTTGTGGCGTCTGCGTCACTGGCGACCACACAGCGGCATCTGCCCAGGCAGCACGTGGGCTGGGGGTGTTTCTGAACGACGCTTTGAGAGAATCACTTTCCACAAGAGAAGGCACGCAGGAGGGGAAGGGAGAGAGCGCAACAGAAAGTGAGGTCGTAAGTAGAAAACCGCTTCTGGGATTTCAAATGGCTTCGTCATGGGGCCCTCCCTTGCTGCTGAGAAATCAGTTGATCTGGGAAAGTTTGTTGCAA